GTGAATGAATAGTCAACCTCTGCTGCGTCAAGAACTCCGAAATCCTTCAGGCGTTACCGTTAATTTTGGTTGTTGTCATTAATTTAATTAGCTATTAATTAAACTCCAAATTAATAGTTTAGCCTATTTTATGAGACTGATATCTTTAACTGGCTATCATTTTTCCCTTTATGGGAATGGTGCCCCACGAGGTGATTTAATGTTAATTAAGTCACATTATTTAACATAATTATTAATTATTAATAATAATTATTAAATATTTCCGATAGCCAATTTAACCCCAACATATTTGGTGCCTCCGCGTGAACCCTAGTGTGTTGACCCCAACATATTTGGTGCCACCGTGTGAGGTAAATATATGTTGATTCCCAACATATATTACAAGTTTAAGTAGTCTGGCATTCATGATATTTTTATATTCAAGTGCTGTGAGTAGTGTAAGTAGATGTATGTGGATACATTTACTCAAGTACTGTACTTAGGGGCAATTTTGAGTTACCTTGTACTTTCCTTGAGAACTTCCATTTCATCCATCCATCCATCTTCTAACCGCTTCATCCTCTTGAGGGTCGCAGGGGGGCTGGAGCCTATCCCAGCTGACATTGGGTGAGAGGCAGGGTACACCCTGGACAGGTCACCAGACTATTGCAGGGCTGACACATAGAGACTGTTCTGACTTCAGTGTTACCTTTCAAATGAGACCAAAATGGAACAAGAACAGCTCTCTGTTAACTTTGGGTATGTCCTTGGTGGGCGTTTCTTTTTTTGTTGTTGTTGTTGTTGTTTTAATTAAGGTAAATTTTACTGGACTACCTTGAGGTTTAAATGAAATGATGAATCCAACTTAAAGTTAGCTGCAAAAGTTTGCACAAAAATAAACAATGAAATGACATATTTAGTCAGCTTGGCTGATTAAAGGTTGTTTGGTGAAAACATTCATATAGTGAATACTCAGCAGAGGAATACAAAATAAAAGAGAAGCCATAAGATGCTAAATGTTGGATGAAGCTACACATAAACACTAGGGGTGTAAATCACCAGCTTCATCACGATACGATATTATATCGATTTGTTTGGATGACGATACGATGTTTGCCGATATCACAAAGTCTGTCATGATACGATTGCGATTCGATTCGATTCAGGAGCCTGCGATCAATATGGCGCAATATCATATGCCCATCAAACACAATCATTTACATCAACTCACAAAAACAGCTAGAATGTGATTTGACCATTTTATTTCTGAGCTCTTCCAAGTATCAGGCATTTAAATGAAAAACAATATTCTTCTGTAACAAAAAAATAATAAAAATAGACCTGTTCACTAAAATGGTGACACAGACGTGCTATGTGAATTTCAAAGTAAAGGTGTATCTTTAAGATGACAATATGGATCGATGTTTTCATTTTGCATCGATGTAATTGGATCGTTAATCAATGAATCGATGTATCAATGTGGATCGATGTATCGTCACACCCCTAATAAACACACACACAATCTAAAACTGTCACATAATATCACCAAGTAGGAATGAAAGTCTCTAACTTCACTTTCTCTTGTAGTTAATTCCAGTGTTAAAATGCATGGTACAAGACAGGAGTCCTCCCCAAGTCAGAGTTGGTATGAGAAACATCTAAAGCCAACTAATCCTGCAAAATGGTGTCATGGATTGAACTCAACTAAAGATAATAAATATGTTGGTAAATTAGACAGCATGGCCCCATAATTAAAATAAGTAACCCGACTTGAATTAGCGCCATCAAAATCACAGTGCATTGTCACATGGATTTTTGTTTTTCAACAAAATTTTGTCTATGTCAATATGCATATTTAAAAAAATATATTTTTTTTTTTCACAGGCTATGGCAGTGATCATCTTTGGGTTTGAGGGCCAGATTTGGCCCATGATAGAGTGCTTGGTGGCCTTGTAACCAAATTCACATTGAAAATGAATTGATTGATACTGGGGATTTTTTTTTTGTACTTTGAACGTAAACAAGGTGCCAGAATTATATGCCAGAATTATGCAGTTTGTTTATGAAGTGCCATGGGAAGATCCCCTTGACCTCCCAATGGAGGTCTGGGCTAAACCCCAAATGTCCCCAAATCCTAGGAACACTTCTACATATGCTTCACTTATGCAGGGCAGTTGCAACTGGATTTGCCTTGTTTATTCATTCATCTGACAAATATATTAATCATGTTTGTTTATTAACTGGCCCCTGGCCTCCTGTCTATTTCCAAAAGTGGCTCCCAGGCAAAGCAATTTGAATATCTCTGATCTCTGGTGATGGGCTGTCTAGCTTGAGGAGCCTGGCCCCTATGGGCCCCTAGTGATGCTGCCACAGGATTCCAATTTCTGCCTGTTATACCTTTATTAAGTAATTGTGTTGATAAGAGAAATATGTAGCTCTGCATTTTCCAAATTTACTTTAACCCTTTCACAAAGAATCAGGATTAAGTGACTCAGCAAAGCTGTCATTTGTTGTCTGAAGATAATGAGATAAATAAATGAATGTTCTATAAATGGCTGTGCTTTAGAGTGAGCAACCCTGGCAGCTCTCCCTGCATTTGATGACCAATGTGGAGCTTCCAGAACCAATGAAATCCAAGTCATTTACATTAGACTTACAAACAGAAAGACTGTGCATAAATGTAACTGGGTCATTTTAACTTAATTTAAAATGGAGTAAAAAAAATTGTGACTAATCACTAGTCACTTTAAAATGTGTGCTGGTTGAGAACTTAAAACCTACAAAAGTAGCAGCAGAGTTACCCTCCCTCTCGCTGAATACAGATTGATCAATATGGTGTTGACTTGTTCTTCCTGTCTGTGTCTCTTCTCTGTCTCTCCCCCAGTTTGGTCGGACAGAAGTGATCGACAACACGTTGAACCCCGACTTTGTGAGGAAGTTTGTTCTTGATTTCTTCTTTGAAGAGAAGCAGAACCTTCGCTTTGATGTGTAAGTGGGAACATTTCAGCCTTTTTCCCTTTACAGCAGCGCTGTCTCTTTCCTTTGTCATACCAGGGAATGACTTCAGTTAAGACTCCTTTTATTTTGCCTGATTGACTCATACCTACTAGGTTTAGAAGCCTTCAGTCAAAGCTGATTAGCATAAAGGCTGTTTGACTGCATGACTCTCATCGAAGTGTTGGGCAGTATATACAGTCATCAACCACTATCTTACAAATGCCTTCATTCCTTTTAGATACTTTTCTTCATTTCACAAGTTTTTTTTTCTATTGAAAAAACATAGTTTCTTTGTAAAATGGAAAAAATAAAGTGAACACTAAAAAACATCGTGCAAGTTCTAAAGTGGACATTTTTAGCACTACTTAAAACTTGTCTGTATTAAATGTTATTAATAAGGCTTTTTATTCCTCCACACCTGCGATAGCCAGAGGGCTTCGGTTTGTCCATCTCAAGAACGCCCTAAGGAAATTTCTTAAAATTTGGCACAAACAGTCACTTCGACACCACAATGAACTGATTAGATATTGGTGGTCATAGGTCAAAGGTCAAGGTTAATGTGACCTTGCATCACGTTTCATTCTCATGAATGTGACATCTCACAAACGCTTTGGGGGAATTTCTTAAAATTTGGCATAAATGTCCACTCAAAGATGAATTAATAAGATTTTGGTGGTCAAATGCCAGGGTCAGTTTGACCTTGTCTGACTAATTCTTGTATATGCAATATCTCCAGAACACACAGAGGGAATATCTTCAAATTTGACACAAAGGTCAACTTTGACCGAAAAATAAACTGATTAGAATTTGGTGATCAGAGGTCAAGGTCAGTGTGACATCACAAAACATGTTTTTGGCCAGGACTCAAAAATTCTTATGCTAATATGACAAAACATCACACAAATGTCTAATAGAGTAAAAATGATTAAGTGATGACATTTCATAAGCAAATGGTAAAAGGTCAGCTTCACTGTGACATCATAATGTTCTGTATAAAACACCTTTCTGGCCATTACTCAACATCATTACTCAGGAACAGAAGGGGAGACATTTGGTCAGATACTGAATTGGTGACACTAATCTTGGGTGCCCACCTTAAAACTGTGCTGATTATATAGATCTTCTGTGCTGTTGAGGGGAAGATGTGTGTGTGTATCCATTGGATGTAAACTGTAAGAGAAACTTGACTGGTGCACAGAGACATACAATTACAGGGTGGTAATTCTAGTTTTATGGCTAAAAGAGAGGATAAAAAAATTCCTTAAATGTTACAAATCATAAATGAAATGATTCATCCCCTCTGGGATCATTTCAACATATATTTTGTACTGCAGGTGCTCTGCACCAGGGGCCTGACATGGCTATATCTACTGTAGATATTATTCCATATCAGGTATGATTGATGCGCACTGTGCCCAGTACAATTGTCCCCTCGCTACAGGGTAGAAAAGCCTGCTAAATGCAAAATCCCTAACCCAAGGAGTTGACCTCCACATTATGCCTACTATTGTTTTTAACCATGTGAAGCTAAAATATGTGAAGCTAAAATATCCCAGATATGGCTGCTGCCATCTTGCTCTGGTAATGTCATTCGAAGCCAGAGTTTGCGCAGTAGCGGTATTAAGTGCCCACATACCTTCCGACTAATCACGAACAGTACCACTGAATGCTAGCCCACCGATTGGCTCACACAGTCAGGTCATGTTGTAACATTTATATTTGATAGCATTAAATAACTAATTATCACCAAACTTATCAGAGAAACGAACACTTGAACAAACAGCAGTGTGATAAAACCTACCTGAAATGACAACCATCTTTGCAAAAAATGTATTTGATGTGGACATTTTAGTTAGCCCCATGTCCCATCCACTAACATGGACAGGGCAGGCTTTATGACCTATACTGCAGCTAGCCACCAGGGGAAAATTGAGGTGTTTCAACTTGACATTTAAGGAGCTGTCATGTCATTCATCTTACATTCATACATCTTAAATTTATACATTCATTCATTTCCGTAATGGCTTATCCTCTTGGAGCCTATCCCAGTTTATATTGGGTGAGAGGCAAGGTACACCCTGGACAGGTCGCCAGACTATCGCAGGGCTAACACATAGAGACAGACAACTATTCACACTCACATTCACACCTACGGTCAATTTAGAGTCACCAGTTAACCTATCCCCAACCTGCATGTCTTTGGACTGTGTGTTGTTTTTTTTTATTTAACCTTTTTTTTAACCAGGAAGTCCCACTGAGATTGAAAATCTCTTTTACAAGAAAATCCTGGTCAAGGTAGCAGACAATCAAAACACATTTAAATTCAACACATACAACATATAATACAAAATCCACAATAAAACAACAACTATTCAAACATAGTAGCCTATGCTATTTATGATGCCCTTAAATTCATCAATGGTGTTTCTAATTTTCCATGCCTGTGGTGCCTAGTAGGAAAATGCAGTTTTCCCCAGATCTGCTAAAACCCGGGGTACATTAAAAAGCAACCACTTGGAGGAGTGTAGCTGGTAACTGCCAGAGTTGACACACAGAAGGGTGCAGAGGTAGGCTGGAAGTTTGCCCAGTATTGCTGTATACATAAAAAATATACCAGTGCTGTTGTCTTGGAATGGGCAATGATGTCCAACCCACCGAATCATTAAGAATGATGAGTAAGTGACTTTGCATTTGTAATAAAACATAGAGATGCATGGTATACATAATCAAGGCTACATAAAATGGAGGAGGCTGCATACATATACAGTATGTCACAGACAGAAAAGTAGCCTCTGCAAGTTTTTTCTTAGCACTGGAAGTAAAACAAGACTTATTTCTAAAATAAAAGCCAATCTTCACTTTAAGCTTTCAATATGTACATTAAATGAAAGCTTGTCATCTATCCAACTACCTAAGTACTTGTATGAGGACACTCTTTCTATGGATTTACTGTAGAAGTTAGGATGCTAAAATCATCAAGCAACTGTGAGCGAGCTTTTAAGGAGGCTATAAACTTCTTTTTCTGAGCATTTAAAATCAATTTTAAACTCAGCAGACCAGTTTGTAATGATTGAAATACAGTCTGAAGCTCTTGCACTGCCTGCATTATGGAGGGAGCATGCGTGTGAATGCATATAAATGTATTTTTGCTGTAATGTCTTAACCCAAATCATTTGTAAAAATAGGAAACAAAATAGGCCCCAAGAAACAAAGGAGGAAGGCATGTGAGCAGGTCATTCAGAGGATGAGATAAGTGCAATCACAGGTTTTGGAGGAGACCAGCGGCATCAAGAAATGCCATTGCAACTCTACCTGCTGACTGCTACTAACATGGGAGCTAGCTCAACAGTGCTAGGTGAGCTAGTAGTAGATGCACACTTCCTTCTGTGTGGTGATATGGTTGATAAGTGTGGTTTGGTAGAAAGAAAATAGTTAATACATGAAATGGCTCACAAAAAGGTCTGTGGATTGCCTGGGTCATGATTTTTGGAAAGACACATTATTGTTGAGTTATTCATATGTTGTTGTTTTTTGTGCTGTGAGCATCAAAAGCCAAGTACCATCTAGTCCCATTATATTGGAGAGAAGGCAGACATCTCTACGACTAACATCTCCAACAATTGGCAACTCACACCAAAACTTATCGGTCGTCTGTAATCCTCATTCAAAAAGGGAGACTGGAAGACTTTTTTGACACTAGTTAGCCAGTTAGCACATTAACAACACAAATCCAGTATTGAAAGAACAGAGCACATTTATCGTGCGTCAGTTGACAATAACACAATCTATCAGGAAACGTTTTTGCTAACGAGCTCAATGGCTAAAGAAACATAATCTGACCTTATGTAACGAGTTTGTTTTGGTCTCAATCCCTCTTGACTTCAGCTCTTTGTTTACTTTCCTCATTTCTGTGTCTCTTCTCTTGCACTGAGCTGGACTGCCAGTCAGGGTGATTTAATTCACTGATGGGCTCCACTGTCATTGATTCAACATGCTGAATTTTAAGATGAAATAACGTTGCAGCACCTCCTTGTTGCTGAAATGCAAAAGCTTAATGACTTGTTTTCATACACAGTACTACAAAACAAATAGTACATTTGCTCTGAACATTGCAAAACTCTGTAATGACTCAATGTAATAAGATACTTTGGTCCATTAGTCCCAATAAAATGTTAAGCCAAAATGATACTTTCTGCATCTTGCTGGCTGTTCGGGTCCACAGGGGTCTGCTGAGGTCTGTTTGTCATGTGCATGATCCATCTATATGCCAACAAAACTCTATGATTGCACAGGCCATCAGCACCAGCAAGCATGTGTGAATATATGCAGACAGTCAGTTTAATTTAAAATGATGTAATGTCTGATGGCATCTTCTTAAATGTATTTATTTGAGTTTGTTGTCATATCCACTGCCTCAAAGAGTTTTTAGGCTGAGAATCAGGTTAGGGGAAACAAACAAGCTGTCTGTCTCTCATTACCACACTGCCCTTGAGCAAGGTAATTAAACCCCAACTGCTGCAGCAAGTCCCCTTCTCTGTTGGTTTCACAGTCATGGATACAAAAAAGGGCAGATATCTGGTTTCTGAATCACAGCTGAAACATAAATAATAGTTTATTTGTCGAAGGTCATTCTATCTACCACTGGTTTATCCACTACTACAGCTTTGAAATACCCTGCTGATAGACCAGCATAGATAGACCAGATAGAACTACTGATTAAGTTTTACCATTGGAATGAGCATCACTAGATAAGCAGTTCATTCATTAAACCACAGTATTCAAACAGCCTTTCATTATTTTTTTTTAGTGTTTGTCAATCTGTTTCCATCTGAATCTACTGTCAAGAACTCATTATTCATCTCAGAGTTGTTTTGTTTGGTTCAAAGCTTTAAAGTAAAGTATTCTGCAGTATTTATGAAGAGAATTAAATGAGAAATTTACTTTCAGAGTCTGCAAATGAGCACAATGAGCTGCACTGCCTATAGAGGCCC